AAGAACAATTAATAGTCATCAAGATAGTTATGAAAACAAAAATGATAAATTTTAAAACCAATAGATTATAGCAAGCATGGATGCTGCCTGCATACCTACTGACTTGTAAGAGTAGGAGTCTCCGATGTCAGAATTTGAGCAAGGCCACTTTTGATTTGGTATATGTAATATTGGGACTGGGAACTGCAAGGAAGTATTTTAGTCTAACAAAATGCTTTTCCCCAAATTCTTGTCTGAGCCCCAAATCCCTTGCTCTTTAACCCTACTTTCACATACATTCTCTTTCACTGGCTACGTGTGCTCAATCCTGACATTAGTTCAGGTGGACATTAGTTCCTAAATTTGATCCAGGAATCAATAATTCTAAAGGAAACAGTTTTGTGAAAATCTTGAGTTTTAATTTCCTTGAAGATTTACAGGTATGTGGAAGGTTGAAATAAAAAACAGCATTAGGTTCCATAATGCAGTCATCATCATGAAAACTTTGCCTTTCCCTGTGCTAACATTACAACATGCTGTAAGGTAAATCAAAGGAATTGCACAGTATCAGTGGCATTATTCAAAAATGTACCATTATGAACCTATTTTTATAATCTACTGCAAACAGGATCTGGAGTCTCTTTTCTACCTTTTCTTAATTTCTGTATGATATATGGCACAGTTTCTCAGTGTGGCCCCAAAACTGCAAAACCCTAAGCTTCTATGCTCTCCCCTTAAAATACAGATTTGATCCAGCACACCTTATACACCTTTGGTACATTTCCCCTTACAAGGCAACTTGGAAGTGACTGTAGCCACTGTAAAAGTCTGGCCAAATAAAAGAGCAAATGACCTTACATAACTTCAAAAATAGAAAGCCAATCAAATAAAACTTACCACCTTATCCTTTCCAGCAGGCGGTGTTTTCCCCCAGATCCAATCATGAGTTTCATTTCCCCCAGTTTCACAACAGTGCCAAGTCCTGATGGGGCAATCACCAATTTGCTTCCATTTAATGTTATGTCACTACTGTGGGCAATAAATTTAAAACAAATCACGAAGTATTGCATTTCCACCTGTGGTCATACTTTCCTTTAAGCTCCGCTGAGGAACTCCCACGCTGTAACATTTCGCATGTAAAAATTTCCAGTTAATTGCTAGGTGCTCAAAGGGGGAAAGAGCTTAAAGCTCTGCCAAATTTCACAGCCTATATATCTTAAACATATTAAGAGCGGAATAATTTTCTGGTTTTCAGGATCCTATGACTGGTCTTTAAACTGAATAGAAGTAAGAGGGAGTGAAGGAAAGACAGAGGCAGACCTGTTGTAAAAGCCCTAACCATGTGGGAAGTGTCATATTGAATCTGCGTCTCAGCAAATCCACTGCTGAGAAGAACCTTGGTTGAGAAATTAATCCTGTAGGGTCTAATAATGCATGAGCTATGACTAAAGCACTTCTGGTGGGTAGATTACGTAGAGCAGCTTCTTGGTCTGTGGATTCTCTGATGTCCAACAAGACCTGAGCTAAAATTACAGCATTAAGAACACATCTTCCTCTAATCACAACCCTTTCTTGCACAAGCTTAATGAAAATTCATTTCACAATGCCTCTTCCCCTCTGTCAAATTTGACAAAATTAGTCAACTGAAACACAAATATACAGAGGATGAGCATGTAAGCCTGACTTCCTTCGGCAACTAGTGGAAAAACAAAAATCTTCTGTGTTCATTTCCCATGAACATGCAGTTCAAAAGGCAGTTTGCTTGTGCTGGTTGGTTACATTGCATGCTTCTATACCAAGTACACACTGTACTAAGCTTGAATAGTAAATTATATTTAACATGGTTAAATTTGAGGTCCAAAACCTATTACATTGTTTGCTGCTTCGTGTGTGTACATCTATTGACTGAAACCATGTATGTTGTTCTGGTCTCCCAATGCAGAAATACACAAAGTAACATTGTTCAGACTTTTGAGGCAAAACCAAGCCAGCTGAAAGGAGAAAACAAGCATGGAAAGCTGCAGCTTCATTAAGCGAATGTTTTAGAGTGAGACAGACTGGAAGTTAAAGTATATTGTAACATCTGACAACAATGGACACATTGCAAGTTGCAATTGCTATGTACGAACTATTGCCAGTGAGTAAGGGACAACATGCATTATATCCTTAATATAGTTAAACCAGACAATATTATTTCACTAAAATATGCTATTATACTAATTTTCACTTATTTTATGGTAAGTTCAACATCCATGGAATTATCAGTCTGTATTGCATTCAGTGCATTGTAACCTGTGTGCTTATTTAATTAGCTATTAAGCATTAAATACCTGGCTTCTGGGTACATTCTTAGCCAAGAACTGTTCAGAGAGCACAGGAGCCATGGTGCTTGGCATGTCATTTCCTCTCTTTGCAGCACCCATAGCATGCTTAGTTGCTAAGAAAAATGAAACGTGAAGTATTTACTGTAGCTTTAACTGCCATTCTAATGCAGATTAGCATTAAGATAAAAAGAAAGGAGTTCTAAGTAGTAAGTGATCGCTCAGAGTTAGACAATTTCGAAGAGAATTTATTATCTCCCTACTAGGACCAGACCCAATATGATTTCACAGAATCACAGAATCATCTAGGTTGGAAAGGACCTTGGAGATCATCTAGTCCAACCGTTCACCTAGCACAGTTCCCACCTACAGCATATCCTTAAGCTCCAAATCGACCCTACTCTTGAACACCTCCAGGGATGGGGACCCCACCACCTCCCTGGGCAGCCCATTCCAACACCTAACAACCCCTTCTGTAAGGAAACGCCTCCTAATACCTAGTCTAAACCTTCCCTGGCACAGCTTGAGGCCATTCCCTCTTGTTCTGTTGCTTTCTACTAGGCTAAAGAGGCTCAAACCCAGCTCTCTGCAGCTTCCTTTCAGGTAGTTGTAGAGGGTGATAAGGTCTCCCCTCTGTCTCCTCTTCTCCAGACTAAACCCCCCCAGTTCCCTCAGCCGCTTCTCATAGGACATGTGTTCCAGACCCTTGGCCAGCTCTGTAGCCCTTCTCTGGACATGTTCGAGTAACTCTATGTCCTTTTTGTAGTGAGGGGCCCAAAACTGAACACAGTAATCAAGATTTAGATGGCTCTTTCCTTTAATGTTCTTCACTTGACTGAAGGGAACTGTGAATCACAAGTCTGTAGTCCTAAATATTAACTGAAGACACAGTAGCCTATGAATATATAAGTATTCTCAAAATCAAAATGTCATAACAGATCAGAATATAGTAAGCTACACAGTTGGAACTGTAGCTGCTCTGTGATTGTTGGTTACACATTCTTTAATTTGACCCTTTAGCAAGTGAACGTGCAGTTGAAGATTTAAATACCTTAAGTACAGTCACAAAACACCTCCAAAGGGAAATTATGAGTAAAAACCCCATGATGATACAAGATGAAAATTAATAGAAATTGTAGATATAATGGAGTTAATTTGTTAGGTAAATACAGACAAACTATTTAAATACAATATAGGCACATTTCTTGTATGTGCAGTGCACAGTTAAGTAACTGGATTTTTACTGGACTTCAGACAGCAAGTAAAATATAATTAACACTTGGAATGTAGTTATCTCTTACTACATTTTCTAAACACATAAGCAGCTCATACCTTCCAGAAAGGTTGCAGAAATCTAGAGTTTGACCCTGTTAACTTTTGCACACAACTACCAGTTATTTGGCAGTTATCCACAGGGATAGGTTCTTACTCTATGTTATGGCAAAAAAAGAAATTCTTTATTTGCTTACAGAAGTTAAGTGGGAACTAGACACAATGTAACAAACTTTTTTTTAGAAAATACAGCTTCCTCTTACAACCATTTTTCATGTGTATGGAAACTTTTCATAATGAGTCTGAGACAAAAGCATAATGAGATTTACCTTTCCATTGTTTTAAGTGTGCATTTCGATGAGCAAGCAACACTATGTCAGGCATAAGGAATAGGACGGTGTTTCTGCAAGTCTGTGAAATGGCTATATGAGGGTGAAGCACCGTGCCTGCATTCATCCATGCTATTTTAATGCATTAATAGTTTGCTCTGAAAAATGCATGTACGTATGAAGCAGAAAAAAACCTCATATTTCAAAGGCAAGCAATAGGAGAGCAAATTAAAAGCTATAATGCTTGCATTCATATATGTTAGCTAGAACAGACTACAGCTGACACACAAGCTATTGAGTCGGCCTGCTCAAAGGACAAGCAGCCACGTTGGAGCCAGAAAGCACCAGCTGACCTGAGGATAGCCTTTTCTGCCTTTGCCTCCCATTTTAACCGAAGCAGACCTTTCCATCTTCAGGCTCAGAGCACGCACCACCACATCACTCTTGTGAAATCACCTGTCTCAGTGCTGCAACTCCGGATGCACAGCTTTAGGAGAAACCAGGGCCCATTGCCCAGGCTTCCACCTTGGGCCACTGGCCTGGGCTGAGCAGAAAGGCTCTGAGGCCACCACGAAGTACAAGAGTGCTGCAGGTTAGAAGAACAGCTCAAGCTGTGATATTACTGAGCCTACAGAAAAAGCATTTGAATCAAAACCACTTTGAGTGAACGCTTAATGTAATTAAAAAAAAAAAAAAGTATTATCAGGAAAGGTTCTGCCTTACAGAGTAGCCGAGGTTAGGCGGGTCACCCTCACTGCAGAGGACGCAGACACCAAAGCCATGCCAGAGGGACCCCCTCCGGGCACAGCGGGGGAGGCGGAGGCGGCAGAGCCGTGGGGGGCCTTACACCCGACTGACCCGCCATACCGGCCGGCAGGGAAGCGGCCGGCCGCC